TGTTTGACTCTAATTTGTCGTAGATATTCGACTGAATTTACCAGGGTACAAACTCGCGACCTGGTATTTATGTGAACGGCTATAGAATGGAGTGTTTAAATTTTGGACACGGCTGAGTTACTGAGATACTCACTTCGAGCCAAACACTCCTTGACGAGATAATTTCCCAGCCTTTTTTTTTAAAAAAAAAAGTTTTCGGAGTAAAATAAGAATATGAAAAGCATATTTACGTTCTGCATACATTCACACTTAAAGCAGTTAGAAACAATTCATGTTTTCTCTAAAACTCTGAAAACTTGTTAAAACCCGAGGCAGTTCCGCTGCCATGGCAACCGTGCGGAAAGACAGACACAAAACAGAGACCGAAGGCTCATAAATGAAATTTACACACAGGATGATAGAGAAGAGAATATGTGAGGTGATGAATTTTAGAAAGTCTCAGAAAGCGAGATCGCGCAAAGATCAAATTTCTTTGTTTTCACGGATCTTTTGATCTCGTACGAGGAGAAGTTTTTGGGGAAAAAAAAGTTTTGGTGCCCAGGATCGCTGAAATGATTCGATCTACATGACGAGACGAGGAAATTTCTTAAACTTTATCGCGTGATCCACGCTGGATTACGTGATATTTGTTTCCAGTTCATGACGGACTAAATCAAAGAGACAGATAGATGGCGGATTAATCTGGATCGTGTCTAATCGAGGGCTTTTCTGTTAGCGTTGTTAATATTTTGGGTTCTTTAACCACGATACATTCATTTCTGTGCATTATTTACATTAGTAAACATTACGACAACATAAAAGCTCCCCGTCTTCAAAGCTTCGGACAGCAGCCATAATTTTAATTACTGATAAACAAAATGGCACATGTGAGCTGAATTCATCACTCACTGCTATCAAAAGCGAACAGTTACTTCTACCGGTATCCGATTATGGTGATCCAGCAGCCCAAATGCACACAGCAGACGAGAAATCGCTGATGTGGAAAAGCTACGTAATTAATCGATACTCCTGCTCCCTTGTGGCGATCACTGACAGAGGAACAATCTAATTGCTAGGATACAATTGGAATTTGGGGACATGTTTATACGCTGGAGGTTAACAGACAGCGTTGTAATATATAGCGATGTAAATTATTTTAACAACGGACTGGGATAGCAATATCCACCTGCCCGATTAAAACGCTGCCCGAAATCCTAATAATAACAGATATATTATGATTATTATTGATGATTTAACTGTGAGCATTCGGGTATGGATGGGTGGATACTTTATGTACCTGGACTCACTCAAAGAGTCTATCAAAATTTCCTAATCCTCTAATAAATCAACCTTTGTAAACTATTTATGGTACAGATTTAACAACGCAAACCACCTACTTGAACGCTAAATAACTTCGCATTTGTCTACATGTATTATATTGATGGGTTCTGTTTGTGTGATATGTACGTCGTATGGGATTTACGATAAATGCAGACACAAATTTATGACAAAAAAAACTAAAAAAAGGGGGGGGGGAAAGAACGAATGTGAGACGTAGAGACACGTGAACGAAAAAAGATAATATTAAAATTGAGCTTAGCAAAACAGGGCGTGTGAGTAACTACGGACTCGATTAAACTGGCTCAAGATAGAATAAAGTGGCGAGCTTCGGTTTTAAAACAATGCCTGTAATTCCTTGACGAGATGAGCAACTGTAATCTTCTCAAAAAGAACTCCCTTCCTTGCAGTTACATGGTATGAAAGCAGTTGATTAAGTATATAAACACCACGCTGGGGATTGCCCACTGTCCGGGGTGTATCTGATACACACGACGTTTCGGGAGATGGCTGTAGCCTACTCATACGGTCCAATGCTTAGTTTACTAGCATAATATTCGAAACGTCCCTGGTCTGATCCAGACAGATGTCAGTGACAGTACAGAAGAAACTGTCATGGCAAGTAATCACCTGAAGATGGGAGTAGAGTCAACTCCCGAAACGTCATATATATCAAGTATACGTCACGTAACAATTTCCGACGTATATTTTCTGTACTGGTTTGTTAGTCTGCCAGGTGGACGACCGGGAAACTGTGGTACGCTGTTCCGCCACTGATACGAAGCCAACCCCTAACCTCTCGAGGCACGAACTGTAGGTGATGTATCACCTGGAGAAAGTAACTATCACCTATGTCGGATTCCGTGTAATCCACGGCCTTGTTAGAAATTTATCTCACCTGCGGCGAATGAGACAGTTTCCGTATGGGATTTGCATAATGCCGTAAGATTTCACGGTCTTTGTGCGCATGCTCCATTAAATCCTCCGGTTATCTGGTCTAGTTCTGATGGATTCGCCTCCCATGAGACTGAGCGAAACTTCGTTTACCTTTACAGCTTGACTTATAAACTGTTTTCGATTTTAATATCCTGAAGTATTCAAGAGCGGTGGAAATGTAAAATAAGATTTTCTCTCTGAGATGAAGCGTCCATCATTTGTCCTGATGTTCATTTGTTCCAGACATAAACCTAATTTCGTCAAAACCAATTATTAAAAGAAATGACGTAATTATATTTACATTTTGCATCACGAAATAAAGATTATTAAAAACTGTTGCAAATTAAATTTAAAGGTTTTATACACAGTAAGATTTTTCCACGATCAGGCATTTTTAAAATTCTGTTCAACTGTTCAATTTTTTTAAAATAAGGAGACAGAAAACCGATAAAAATTACCCAGAATATTTTTCAGTGACTTTCCACAATAAAATTAATAATATAAAGCGTTTTAAAATTGATTCTAAATCCGATTTCAATAAGCGAACAATTTTATTAAGTGCATAAATAAATTAACACAAGACATTGCACGTCACATTATCTGGAGATGGCAATAAACAGGCGAAACATTTCCGGATATAAATAAAAAAAGTTATCTGATTGTATTTTTCGATAATTTGTCCATTACCACGATTTATTCCAGGGTATAACACGATGTCTGTCTCTCCCGATAGCCCCTTAATATTAGACTGCTTTTTATACATAATTCTTCTGATATTAATACATCGCGTATCAACATTTTAACATGCTTCTTATAGACGAGAGAACACGGCATTCAGATAAGTTTCGTTAAGTTTAAACTTAAATATTAAACGGGTCCATGTATCAGGAGAAAAACTGCATATTTAAAAATTTGATGGATGGGAAATTTAGGAGTTGATGGATACAAGACCCTACAGCTAAAAAGTGAATCGTATAAAGCAACCTCACACTTTATAAAGCACCTGAGATTAAGCTACATGGACTTCACGTTAAATCTCCAGCGTATTAAACATTGACACGATCAAACGCAGGGAACGCTGTGCACACAGCTGCCTACCTACCAAGGAGCTGTGCCACGAAGTTAATACGCCCACAAAAATAACTACTTCGAATTCATCAACCAAACGCCTCAGTTAAATTCATGGGATAATAAAATGCAGACACAGAGTCCTAAGAGGATAATATTAAAATGCATGACATTTAAGCGTCGTCCATGTTTTATGTCATATCGTGTTATGTTATACGCTTGTTAAATAGATCTCACAATCAAATGCTTAACATTACACGAAAATTCAAACGCTTCAAACCGCAAGGCATCTTTACAGCTACATTAAAAAACAAACAAACAAACGAGATTCAGGACAACTGGCATCAGACTCCTCACACTATTATCTCAAAGAAATGTTACGTTTTCATAACCACCTTTACCACCTTAGAGGGCCGTAGTGACCTTAACGCACCATTTATTTCAAAGTAGAATAACTACGCTTTTAGCCCACAGAGTGCACTGATTCGTTTAGATCGATTTTCACAACAAGCATAGATCGATTATCGATATGGGGATACGTAACATCTAGACTGTCTCATCAAATGTTCTTAAATTTATATCCAGAATGATTTCGATGTAGCGAGGATCCACCGCTTCATAGATGAAAACCATTCAACTGTTTCAAAAGCAAGCTCCTTCTTCTTCTTAATCAGTCAAGCAAGGATTTCAAATTCCCTCTCAAACGGAGGAAAAGCGAAGCACTAATTTTTTTTAAATGAAAAAATAAATAACCCTCCACTCGTGAAAGCATCGAATTTTGGTCGATGGCTAAACCCTTAAGACACAGAACAGCAAAAAGAGACATCTCCACAGAAACACTTTAGCTGATGACGTGTACCGCTGTACATGTGCGATGCTTTAGAAAGAAAAGACGAGAAAAAGGAATGGGAAAGAGAGACAGACGTAATCAAATAAACAAAAACAAAAAAATTCAAAAGTGGAGAACGACATAATTTCCAAAACCATCAAGTAATTTCATATATTTGGTTCTTTCTGGATTCGCGATCAACTGAATCGTCGTGTTTATAAAAATAAAAAAAACGATCACGAACTTTTAGAATGTCAGCTCGAAATCCGCAACTTCGTAACAAAAAATTATTACGATTATGATCAGATCATGAACCACGAGATGGGCAGGACACGTAGCGCAAATGGTGCAGACAAGAAATGCGCACAAAACCGTGGTTGGAAACCCCGAGGGGGAACAGACCACACAGAATACCTAGTTGTATATGGAGGATAATATTAAAACGGATATCATTTATGAAAGTGTGGAATTGGAACCGGTGGCGTGCTGTTGTGAATACGGTAATGAACCTTTGGGTTCTTGAGATAAGCCCTTGGTTATTGTCATGTAACCGCGTGTCCGGACTTGGTTACGCGTCACTCGGTCGTCGTCGGACAGCGTTGTCCGAGGACTGACTTCATCTTGAAGGTTAAGGCAGCAACCACTCCTGAAACGTCGGCCAATTTCTACCAGATTCACTGGGAAACCAAAAAATTCGTGTGACTCGTTTTATTACGGCGGTCTGGAACCGAACCCGCAATATCTCCGAGGTATGCCCGTATGCCTATTTGAAAAAATAGAGCCGAAAACATTTCGAAATGAGGCGACATTCTTTGGCCACCATAAAATAATCGTACTGTGGATCACTCACCATCGGTGTTGACAGCGGATACGTAAGTCCAGTTGTATTTTCGGACGATGTCCACCATAACCTGCGCCTGGTAATAGTCAGACGGGACGACGCGGAGGAAATAGTTGAATCTGCTCTTGTCACTGAGGTCCTTGCTCGTGGTGGAGTAGCCGATCTGCGGGATCTGGAACAGCTGCAACAGGTTCTGGACTTGGATGGCCACGGAGCTGGATGCAGGCCCGATCACACCCACCAGCGGAGCGCGACGACCCTTCACGGCGTTCGGTCGTAAAGAACGCCTCTCTTTCGGCTGCAGAACAAAACACGTTTTGGATGTTTCGAAGGCTCTTCCTGCCTCCATCGTCAGGACGATTATTAGGAAAAGAAATATGCGAGGGTACAAAATGGATTTGCATGGCTCTTGGCAGGCAGAGAGACCAAAGACCGATGGTGGTGGGGGGAATTCGTATCTGTTGATCGGACTCACCTGTTGATCGACGGAGCACGTCTCCGCCGAAGTGGAGGGCGAAATCGCGTCCCTGATGAACTCGATGCTCTGCTGCAAGGCCACTGGGGCGTACCAGCACGAGTCTCTGATCTCCACACCCAGGGTCACGTTGGGCAGGATCGATGGATCGTTGTTGATTTGATCTATCGTCTGGAAAGTGACTTCGATTCGCTGGATCCCGTACATCTCGCGCACTCCTCCGCATTTCAGGCTGTTCCCGGCCCTCTTTTGTTTCGGCTGGTGATGCACAGAGAACAGGGCCCCGATAATGAAGTCGCCCTTCAGCAGAGCGGAGATCCTTTCCTGTTCTTGTTCTGTCTGCGGAAGCGTCAGGTCCTCGCACTGTACCACGCTTCTGTACACTAACAGTGTCAGGTACACCAGAGGAAATATTACGTCTCTCGACATTCCGGTAAGAATTCGTCACACGCTTATTCTACAACGTTCAGATGCTTTTATACCTAGATCTATTTATATCACCATGTCGACTAGAACTTTTACAAGATATTTCTTCAACTACGTTACCTCGCTCACTTTATATTCACTACCCAAACTGTATTACATACATCGCCATAGCAACTGTAATCTGCAACACTTTTCATCGACACCACGAGTTTCTTTTTAAACACCTAAATGATGTCTACACTTTTAACACGTGGACTTAAATCTGTCATACATTTATTTCTTCAGCTAAATAAATAGTTCAGTTTATTGGCGATATCGCAGTTGAGGTTTTTATTATTCTACATCAAGGAGTTGTATTCGTCTTGCCAAACTTAAACCCTATTATTTGTACGAATATTTGTTTTTATATTAAATAAGCAGCTCTGCATCACAGAAGAAAATCCAACATGTAAACTTCATGACCAGCAAAATGTAAACTTTAAGCAGACGAATCCGCCACTCTGTGATAATCTGACATATTTCAATTGACGAGAGATTCCGTCAGCAAATCCATGAGTTGCAGTCCGTCGCGTTCAGAGCCCGGATTCATCTCTCCCCGAGGACCACAGACCACAGAGACGGCGAAACACGCGCCAATGAATCTCGGATGAACCACCTTCATGTTCATTGCTGAGTTGGCCTGCTCTGTGTGCCTGGTTCTCAAAACCTGAAACAAACAATACGACATGATATTGTTTATTGAGTATATTTCAAAATAATTTACGTACTGCTAATTACAACAGAGTGCATTGGATTTTGCAGTCAATAAACGTCAGAAATAAAAATGCCAACCCTGCCAATTCACTTGTTACAATAATTAAGTCAGTCATTTGGATACATTGTAACTTCAATTACTTTTTATTAGCTAATTATTTATTAATTTATAGTCAAATAATTAACTAGTTAGTTATTTAAGTAGTATATTTAATTACATAGGGCAGTTGATAAATTGTGTGAGTAGTTATTTAGTTAGTAAGTTAAATAAACAGAAATATAAGTCACTAAAGCAAAGTAAAGTTACTTACATTGCTATTCAGTTTATCAGGTAGGGACCTTATTAAGTTAGTTAGCAAAGCACTTAGTGATTTACATAGACAGTCAGTGGATTAGATATCAACTCAGTCACTGTCAACTGATTCAGTCATTACGTAAGGCAACATTTAATTAGGAAGATAATCACTGGGACAGTTGACTAGGTAATTTTGATTATAATGCGGTCTCATCATGCAGACTCAGCGCCAGAAATAAACAATGCACGCAATGTTGGTACTCGTCAAATAATTTTGCGGTGGAGGAACTGGCTTACGGTTGCCAGGGTGAAGGGGCGAGTGCGGTCTTCAACTTCGAGGCGAAAGCTCGTTGTGGTTCTTAATTTCATTCCGGTAAACAGAAGAGCGAACTTTCAAAGCACGAGGAAAGCTCATGGCCTCGACTCATTCCTCAGACCCCCCTCACCAGAAATAAATTCGGTTACAACGCACAGAAATGAACGTCTGTGTGCTTTCTCCCACACGAAGTTCACAAAAAGAGGCCTGGCACGTCGTCTCTCCCATCTCGAAATCCACTTCTCAGGACAACATTTATAAAGAAACAGAACGTATAAAATTTCTGAATAAAAATTTTAACAACTTGCATCTTAGACCGACAGAATAAGTAAAGAAAAACGAGATGGAACGGATACGAACACACAAGAAACACGTACAAAAATATCAGAAGGGAATGAAGCTTATATGACAAGATAATATTAAAGTGAATCTTAAAAACGCAGACCGCACGGTGTCACAACCCAGACGAACAAAATCATCAGTCTCGCTGCCGGGAGAATCCAAATTCTCATCGAGCAGAGATTCGAACACAATATCTCAAATACGAGACACTACACCGGAATATACTATACTGTATTGTATTACAGCGATACAATAAATTTCCCGTCGCGAATGACGGGAAAGTCTAAGGTAGTAACCATACACAATTATCCCATAAGGGCCGAAATATCTCGACAGCAAATGATCGTCAGCCAACACTTGCTTATTATATTCACTTTATCTAATCGATATAACACGCGTAAATTTATGTATGAAAAGCATGGAGCGTGATATATAATATACTCCACAGAGTAAAGCACACAGAACGCGCAATAGAGAACCAAAGAAACTAATTTTAATACCCGTAGGGGCTCACAAAAAATGCGTCACTGTCAGGATGCCTTGGTGGCTGGATATATCGGTTCGTAAAACCTAAACTACATTAGAATTACAAATTATCATCTCGCAAGGGTTGATAGAACTGTACCACATTCAGATGCAGACGTTCTGGCATGTTTTAAAAAAAGCTGCAAAATAACCACGCTAATCCTTTTGAAATGTTTATCAGGCCACACAAAAAAAATCACAAAATTTTCCGAGCCACATTCAGAAGCTTAGCACAGCGGTAATACTCGACACTTGTATTTTAAGCAACATTTGGTTTAATTCTGGACGCAGGCCATAAACTACTTATACTTTCAAACAAACTCATCACTTCATGCTCTTATCCTCACAACCAATTTCCCCAATATAAGCTTAATATTATCTCCCATTCACTTCTTGGTCTGGAAAGTGACTGTTTTACAAGAGAAATAAATTCTATGGAGGAGTACATCTTCGGAATCTGATAGTCGTTCAACTGATCAATATATTCCCGTCATTTACAGACAACGAGGCTCTGAAACTTAAACATGGTCTGAGCCAGATTAATCCAGCTCACAACCTGTTATTTTGAAACATACTTTCATTTCATCGACCAATTTATATAAAGGTCTTTGTATTCTACTGTTACGAGCAAACAAAATTCAAAATCAAATTCCCCAAATACGAAACTAAAATGAGGTTGACACGAAAGTTTCGGGGGGAAGAACACTTCCGGACTGCTATCCTCTGACGTAGGTGAGCACTCTGTCATTATGTAGAGGCGTTTAGCGACACCAAATGGCCTCATTAAAGGCGCATCAAATTTGCACTCGAAAATGGGCAGATTCACCGACCCCGGTTGGTATGTGTGGTGTTCACCAATGGCCTCATTAAGGGCACATCAAATTTGCACCCGAAAATGGGCAGATTCACTGACCCCGGTTGGTATGTGTGGTGTTCACAAAAAGGAGGTTATACTACAGACCTATTGTGTTAACCAGAAAACGCTCGTTACCAAGACAACATTAACACTTCACAAGAAACCTGAATGTCGAGGCTAAATCTTCGGTGAAATCTTTCCTTTATCATATTCATCTACCCACCACATTATCAAAATACTGCTATTTAAACATTATATATTTATAGGATATTTAACAGTACCGTAATGACATTTGAACAAAATACTTTACTCCTTTACCGAATGGCCATATGAATCGGGAATCGAATCGCGGTCGGCGAGAGTTTAGTCCATTCAATGTACTGAGCTCCCTTCGACCCGATTACAAATACGAGTACAACAGACCATCCGTCATGTGACAGGAGAACAAATAAGTATGACATTTTTCTTGTATTTTGCATTTACACGATTTCTTAAATTCGTCTATTTACTCAATCCGTCGCCCATTACAATAAATCCAACCAAAATTACTTCAGCAGTTGGTGCTACGGCGCGGCCAGCCAAAGACCTTAAAACACGGCACAACGCCGTTCTCGGACGGCAACTTCTCCGGCACATCCATGAGGCGGGTCAATCTATACACACAGGCGAAAGTCTGATTTGTAGAGACTAACCTATTCATTGCACTCTGCCAGATTCTCAAGGAAGTAACGATGCCTTATAAACTGCAGGGCGTGAAATATGATAGTGATCGTGAACGATGACGAAATGAGGATTTTGTGTGGGGGGGCAGCTGCATCCAGCAACTGCCGATCGACACAAAAATACCGGAAGTCAGCGAGATACGAGGAGTCAGGAGAGAGGAAACGCTCAACAAGTAACAGCGTTAACAGAACACTAACTCGATAGTGTTACCGACAAGGGCAGAATCGAAATTCAGCCCATAATTTTAAGCGTGCAAACCGAACGACATATCAAAGTTTCGGACGACGGCGCTTTGTAATGTTCAAAAGTGGCAATAAATTTAAAACGTTTCGGAAGCTGAATTTTCTTCCGTCTTCAGATAAAATGAGAAAGGCATAAACCACATATGTTGGGCCCTGTGGTTCAGCTAGCCTCAGACGAGGGCCTATTTTAAAATAGTTCAACCAGGGGGCTCAACACCTTGTGTTTCTAGTTTCTGTCTGCCTATAGAAACGTACTAATCCTCAATTACCTGAAGGTACTGAGTAAAACAATGTAAAGTCTATGATTTCCGGGCCAATATCTGAATCACTAACCATCCTTGTATGAAGGAGGCGCGCTATTCAATCGACCTCAACTTTGGGAGATGAAATATGCATATATTGTACTACGAAGAACACGAATGACCTTGATATTTATAGTATTTCAGATGTCTGTATTTAATACTGATGGTTGTTGATACTGAAATGTAAAACAGACAAAACAAGTACAAAAAGCGAAGAATAAGGAATAAAGCAAATATGGAATTAAAGACGGCAATCCTCGTCAGGAACAGTAACACAACTGAGAGCCTGGCAGGTTACAGATCAAACCGCCAGGGGCGTCCTCCGCTGTACGCGAAGTGACATGACGAAGTGACAAATGACACTCGACTTGAACGCAACTTGTCACAACGCGGATTTTTGAAACAACGGTGCCTCCATCTGGAGTTTAAAAATAGCGTTAGCATCCCCGCCCTGTCCTTACGCAGGAGCTGTTCAATAAATCCTGTCAAGACCACAACTTGTTGGCAGTCACGTCAATCAATGACGCACGAAACAGCACTCCATCAAACGGACATAACAACGAAACAAGAATGGGTGACGTCACACAGCCAACTCCGGGGTCCAGACTCTTCCTTCAAACCTCCATAAGTGCTCCGTACGTCAAGAAATTCCCTGCTTTTAAGTACCCCCAGGTCTCTGTGAACGGGGTTCGATTCCTGGTAGGGGCAAAAGATGCTGATATTGACTTCCACGACCAGATCCAGACTCCTATACAATGTGTAAACGTAGAAGTATACGCGGGGATAAAGCAGCTGGAACGGGAAGCTAACCAGTCACCTCAATTTAATGCTTAGGTCAAAACCACAAGCATTCAAGGCTCGCTACAAAATAAGTACGATGAGGAAATTTAATTTTAAAGAAACCCAAAGCCTTTAGGTTAGGTTAGGTTAAGTTAGGTTAGATTAGTTAGGTTAGGTTAGGTTAGGGTGGGTTAGGAAGGGTTAGGTTAGGCATGCAGATATTTTAGGTTAGGTCAGGAAGTTGACTACCTAAAGACGCTCGGCTTCGTAGCTTACAGTTTCTCGAGGCTAGTCCGCGTTTCATTCGAAATCTTATCAGCATCCGTACGAAAGGCGTCGACGTGCCACCGTCGTATTATACGGCGTCCCTAGAACCATATTCGCTATTTGGGGTCTTGTGTATGAGTCCCAACGCTGAGCGTCTGTTTGTCAGCCGTGTCTTATGGCATCGTCTTAGCTTTTTGTGGTCTTTTCATGGCGTCGGTAGGAGCTTCGCGACGCTTGTAAGCAGCGACGTTTCGTGATCGCTGCTTTTTATGACGGCCAAAGGCATGAAGTGTTTATGCATGATT